AAAAAAAAAAAAAAAGAAAAGCATTAAAGTAAAAATTTATGTACAACAGAACTTCAAAATTCTATCAGAGGGCCGGGGAGATGGCTCAGTACAATAAGTGCTTCCCTGGCAAGCACAAGGGCCTGAGTTCAATCCCCGGTTCCACCAAAAAAAAAAAAAAACCTCTATCACAAACTGATTATGTATTTAGTGATCCCTAGCCCCAACACAATTTTTAAAACTAAATGCTTTAACTTCTTCACTCACACAGTAAATGTTTGCAGCAGTGTATTTAAAAGTTGCACACCAGCTACTATATAAATCCAAGTGCAGTATTTCAAGGTATAATATACACAAGCAATTTTGACAACTACTGAATATTGGGGTTTTTTAAAAGCCCAGTAGAATAGTAAAGCACAACTCTAGAACACCAAATTAACTAAACATGTCAAAATATTTAAGTATTTTGGCCAGGCATGGTGGTACACATCTGTAATCCCAACAGTCTAAAAGGCTGAGGCTGGAGGGTTCCAAATTCAAGTCTAACCTGGGCAACTTAGAGACCTCATGAGATCCTGTCTCAAAAAAAAAGCCGGGAATACAGCTCCTTGTGACAGCCCTGGGTTCACTCTCCAGTAAGGGGGAAAAGGTGTACTTAAACATTTTTACTTTTTAAAAGTTTAATTTGATCCGAGTTAAAAGTTGACTAGATCAAAAATCAAAGTATTTATATTTAATGATATTCTACACGAATTTAATCTCCCTTCTTTCAACACTCCATTGCTCCTAACTATTCACCATATGGCTTTATATGACAATGAACAAATACTAGCTACATCCTAAATATAAAGCAGTATGAAGAACAGGTGCAACACTGTTTAAATGCGTTTTTCTTCTAAGCCCAATTTTGCGCAGGAAAAGAATTTAAAAATAAACACAAATACACAAAATAAGTTTAATAATCCTTTCAAAAAGATGCAACAATTATTTGTTGAAACTGTACTTCCGATTTGATTTGAAACTGTCTCATTGCTATCTGTTTATCAATAAAACTTTGGGAAAAAAAATGCAACAACTTTGAAATCCAAGACACGAGCCCTACACTACTATGTTCCAAAAGTTAAGTCCTACAGTGTACAAAAGTTCACATTTACAGCAACGAGCTCTATTACTCTCTACTCACACAGAAAATTACAAGAGTTCTCAGATCCCCAATTAATAAGTACATTTAACTTCATGAGTTAGTATGCGGAGGAAAACGCTCCACTTCAAACTCATGTTAATTCTCTTCTCAGTTGTTTTCATAAACACAGCACGGAGAATCTAATTTGGCTTTGTACCCATTAAAAAAGAAAAGCTGAAGGAGAATACTCTCTCTAGAAAGAAAAATTCAGCGTTGAAGGCGGTGGTGAGTCAGAAACTAAAAGGAAGCCAAGGGAGTAAAGCAGCATCCCAGGTGAGCAGGCACGCAAGAGTTGACGCTGAGAAGTGAAAACTTCACAGGTCGACCGCAAACTGTAGCGCCTGATGGAAGCCCAAGAAAGGAGCGCGGCTGTCAAGGGGCAACCGTGCACGGAGGCGGCGGCGGGGGGGATTAGGCAGGCCAAATCCGAAAGGGGGTCCGGGAGGAGGTGGAAACGCGCCATCGCAGTCCGTCAGCTGGGGTTCCCACAGGCAGAGAGCGTAAACAAGAGCGCGCTCACTGCCCCGCAGCCCCACGCCAGACTCCCCGAGAGGAGTTCGGGCCCTCGGCCCGAGTCCGGGGAAGGCCGCCTCCGGAGGGGCCCCCGCAGACGCCATACTAAAAGTCAAAATGGCTGCCCCGAGGAAGCCCGCACCGCATAGCTAGTGAGGGCTGGGGAACAGGCAGCTGCGGGAAAGGGGGAGGGGGCTCGAGGAAGACCGTCGCGGGGTCCGTCGCCGCCCGAGGCGCAGAGGTAGGTCCTCGCCGGCCTCCCAAGACGCGGGCTCCGGCGGCAGGCAGTCCCGGCCCCACCCCCGGCCGGGAACCCCGCCGCGGCCACCGTCCTGCTCACCGACCCCGGCCAGGTACCTGCAGTTCGGCCCGCTCCACCTCCCAGTGCGCTCGCTCCATCTCGAACCGAGCCCACTCGTGCTGGATGTAGTGCAGTATCCCCGGGATAGTGTACTGCTGTGGCCGGGACAGCTCAGGGCCTGCGGGGGGACCCGCTCCCTCGGAGGCCGGAGGACCTCCGCCGCCCGCCGCTCCATTGCCCCCAGGCGAAAGGCTCAGGTTCCCCCCAGGTCCCTGCTGTGGCCGCGGAGGGGCTGCCATCCCCGGGCCGCCACCACCGCCTCCGGCAAGCTCGTCCATTGTGTGTGGGGCCCCGGCCGGGGCGTAGGGCGAGACGCCGACTGCTGGGGGAAGGACCGGGGAGGATGGCCACGCGCCGCCGGCGGGCGGAGGCCGGCCAGGAGAGGGGCGGGGAGGGGGTCGTTGCGGTGTGCCCGCCGTGGGTCAGAGCAGGGAGCCGCCGGCCGCCGCCATTACAGTCCCTCCTCCATCTGCCCGGCTCACTCACTCACTTTAGGGAAAGGGGGGCCGCGGCGGAGCGGGGGAAGGGGCAGGGTTGGGAAAGGGATAGACGTAGGGCCGCCGCCTCGCACAGCCTGCTGGGAAAAGAACGCCGCTGCCGCCACTCGCTTGATAGCCAAATAGAGTCCGGCCTCACCCTACGCACGCGCACTGGGCACGCAGGCATTCGGCGCTGGGGGCGGGGCGAGGCGAGCTGGTCCCCGCCCTAGCCCCGCCCCCACACCGGCGCCGGAGAGCGGCAGCAGACGCTCAGACTTTGGGAGCGTGGCGACCTCTGGCCTCGAGTGGCCGCGTCCTCTTGCAGCCCGCTTTCAGGCGCAGCTTGCTACCCCACGGTCTCGGCCATGCGTTCACCCTTGGAGCTGGGTTTAAATCCTGCTTGTTTCTGACCGCTGTCCGTCTTGGATTCCTAGCGTTTCTCCTGCATTCTTTGCGTGTTTCAGGCGGTCCCAAAGGACCGGGCCTCTTTCCCCGCCTGTCACTCGCTCTATCTCGGATTTGTTCGTACCGGTTTCCGGGATTTGGGAGGTGTTCTCTTTTGGCAGCCAGCCCAGATCCTTCCGGACGTGGTGATTGATTCTTGGGCTCTGGCCCCATTTCTGTGCACCCAGCCGCCTGTCCTAACTCGTTCCCCTCTTTCCTTCTCTGGGATGGGTTGTGTTATGGGAGTTTGAAAAAGGAGCAAAAGCGATTGTTTTCCTTTTTTTCTTGGAAGAAGAGAGGGTCATGAAATCCTTTAGATCTTGGGGCTGATGGGCATAAGGAACAAAGGTTAACTTTGAAGGAGGCTTGTTTAAACTATGTTATAAAAGTGAATGAAGGGCTGGGGAGATGGCTCGTAGAATAAGCTCATGTCAAGCAAGAGCAAGGGCCTGAGTTCAATCCCCGGTTCCGCCAAAAATAAATAAATAAATAAAAGTGAATGAACTGACAGCCTACCGCTAATGGTAGGATGTTTTTGATAGGTTAAGTTCAATCCTCATAGCACTTTAAAAAATAATAATAACTAAAAGTATTGTGACTACAACATAAAATCCTAAGTGAACAACTAAAGGTGTTTTCCTAGGTTATTTTATTTTATTTCATTTATTTATTTATTTTTAGTGAAATAGTATGCATGTGCCTGTAACCCCTTCATTTGGGAGGCCACGGCAAGAAGATCTCAAGTTCAGGACAGCCTAGACTACATAGTGAGACTTTTGTCTCCAAACAACAGAAACCCAAATATAATGGAGCGTGCCTATAATTGCAGCTCTTTGGAGGATGGAAAGGAGTTAGAGGCTAGCAGGAGCTCCATAGCTATATCCTGCCTCAACCAACAGCAAAAGGAAGAGGAAGATGGGCTGAAACTGCCTGAGTATTAAAAGTACAGGCAAGATGGACTTACTTGGCGCACATCTTTAATCCCAACATTGGGAGGCTAAGGCAGGTCAGTGTATAGAGTGCATTCAGCCTGGACTAGATAGGAAGACCCTGCTCAAAACAAAGCACAGGTTTAGACCTGCAAGATATTCTGTTGAAATGTGTTGTAGACCATACTCATTACTTTGTGTCTATAATTCCTAACGACATGGTAGTGATTTTCTATATAAGAAATGAGCTCTCCCTACATTGTCACCTACAGCTACCTAACTGGAATTTCCTCCCTGATCTGTGCCTGACTCATTTCCTGTGCTCAGTTTCACCTTTGAAACTTCTACTTTCTGTTCTTTCATCAGTCCTGTGCATCGCTCCTCCTTTTCCCTGCCCACAGAATCTCTTATTCTCTTCAAGAATGCCTGTTTTAGAAGACAACAATATGCAATATATAACAATTATTGTTGAATTCCTATTATTTTGTTTAGTGAAATTCTGTATCTTTTCTAATGGATTTTTTGTACTAGTTTGTATTCTCTTTATGGCAGAACCGGGGATTGAACTCAGGCCTTGCGCTTGCCAGGTGAGCACTTATTCTACTGAGCTATCTCCCCAGCCTAATTTTTATTCTCTTAAAAAAAAAAAAAAAAAAAATGGGCTGGAGAGATGGCTCAGTGGTCTAAAGCACCTACTTGGAACAAGCTCGGCAAAGCACAGGGACCGCGG